GCCCCTTGCTTTATGCAGCCCCAAGCACTGAAGGTTCATCAAAAACAACCCCATGTACCCCCAGGCATTTACCCCCACACGCTCCCTGTGTCGATGTTGGGCACAGAGCTCCCCAACCCTTCAGCCCCACATCTCTTAGCCCTGACCTCCATGTGGCCGTGGCTCTGATCTTTAGACAGACACTTTCCTACCAAAAAAAAAAAAAAAAAAAAAAGAATACAAATCCAAACGGTAAGTTTTTGTTTGGCTCATTTATGCTGGAGCTGCCAGCCAAAGCGAGAGCTCCGCACTTGGTTTATGGCTTTATGGCTCTGATTTACAGAGATAGAGGCAGAACGGTGAGCATCGCTCCCAGCCTAGAGCTGCGTTTTTAAACCTATATATTTCCAAGGAAGGGGGTGGGGAGGGGGAAGGGAATAAAATAAAATAACTGTTGAAACAAACAAAAATATATTTCATAGGAAAATATGGTTCCGTGGCGCCTTGCCTGCTGATAGCAAGCTGCTTCATTTGTGCAGCGACGGATTTAAGTGTTGGAAGCAAAAACAAAACACGGCTTCATGGTCTGGTTGAAAAAACTATGCTAAATAGAGGAAATTGCCCAATTAGGCAGCTTTTCTCCCCAAAGCAGCACTCCTTGTCTGAGGGACTCGCTGCCCACCCCCTTCCCAGCACTGCTACTTATGTGAGGATGGGAAGGAGCCTGGGGCAGCCCTCAGCTTGTGACATTCCTGACAGCTCCCATCACCCTTCACAGGAGGCAAAGGCTTCTTGGAAATTACATTAAAAAAAGAAAAGAATGGGGTTTTGCTACAAGAAACAGTTACAACACAGCCCTGTGCCGGGATCCCGGGCTGCGAGTAGAGGGGGAGCTCCTGTGCTCCCCAGAGCTCTGGGATCTCCACTGAGTGACACGGGCAGCTCCACCCAGCATCTTCTCCTTTCACCCACGGTTTGCCCCCCAAATTGCCAGATTTGCTAAATCCCTTCATCTTCACCACACCATTTGGTGAACGTCAGCCCCACAGTGAGAAGCCAGGACCTCAAAGGGTTCTCCGTGGGTATGAGTGCAGTTTAGGGTGTCCCAAGGACCTTTCTTGCATGTTCCATCATCTCCCTTACTGCCAGAGCCTGAGGGGACCTGGCTCCTGCGGTGGAACCAACCAATAAATCCCCAGGCTGGAACAATAGCCCCCTGGAAGACACGAGATGTGGAACATCTGCAATTGATTGCATTTGCTGCTTCTTCGGGGTTTCTGCAATGTTTGTTTCCCAGCTTGTGATGTCGTGTCTCCTTGTGCCTCGCAGGGAATTTTTTATTGCACTGTGCACGCTCAAATGCAGAGACACCTCTAAAATGAGCTGGAAACATGGGAGAGAGGGACAACACATGCCAGAAGGACCTAAACTCAGGGCGAGTGCCAACAGCGGGACCTCAGAGCTCGGAGGACCGCAGAGCAATGCAAGGCACATGCTCACAGACTGAAAGCCCACTGACTCGGCCCCATCTGTTGGCCCCAGATTCATTGAGATGGAAGTATTTCCATTGCAGATCAGAACCCATCATTTGCTTGTTCCCTGAGCAGCTCTGCCACCACTCCAGTGCTCCGCACATCTCCAGGCATGAGCACTGAGGATTTGTCCTTTGCTCTGCCAAAATAACATATCACAGGGCTGCAGCCCTCGACACCGCCCGGGCTCACTTGTCCTGCATCCTCCTGGTCCCCCATTGCTTTTGTCAACTCAGCTGCAACCCAAATCCCTTCGGATGTTTGCTCTAGGAAAAAGCAATGCACGCCGATTGCCAACGATTTCACACATAGCAACCATTGAGACAGCAAATGTTGTGGCAACTGGATCAACACCCGAGTATGCAGCAGCCTCTCGATCCTGTAAGGCTTTTTCCTCCCTTTGCTTTCCCCCCATCCTTCAGGCAGATGTTAGCATTTAGTCACTTTAAGTGTTTTTCATCACTGATAAACATCCCAATGCCCAGTGAGTCACCGTGTGCATGCACAGGGCTGCGTCTCAAGGACAGCGCTGTCATCGTGCCGTGCTGCAGACCATGGCTGTGGGGTTTGGGGGTACAGCCCCATACCTTGGGGTCCATGCGGAGGAAGGTGTGTGGTCCCCGGCTGCTCAGCGTCGAGCGCTTGAACGTTTTGCTGTGGTGGAAGTGGTAGTAGTTTTCCAAGCTGCCAATCTGGGAAAAAGAAAGATTTGTTTTACAAAGGCAAGGGTTGCCCACGGTCTGTAGAAAAATGCCAACTCCAAGGCTGTGCTGTCCTCAGACCCCTCATCTCGCAGCCAGTGATGCTGTGGACTGCGCTCTGAGCATCTGCTTGAGCTGTGGGTGCCCCTGTTCAGTGCAGGAGAGTTGGACCAGATGGCCTTTAAGGGGCCCTTCCAACTCAATGACCCTATGGCTCTATGTGGACCCTCTCTTCCCAAAAGCATCACTCAGTCAACCCAACATCCTGTGGAGATGCAGTGAGATGGGCAAGGAGGTTATAAACCAGAGTTCTTCATTCCCACAGGATTACTGAGAGCCAGCCCTGCTGTGAGCAGGACCTTGGGTCAAGGGACCCTTTGAACCTAACTTTAAACCTAAGTAGAAGAACTCAAAAATGTGATTTCCGTCTTAAAAAAAAATAAATTGATGGAAGAGTATTTGCTCTCCTCTCTGTGGGATCAGAGAGGACACTGCTGGAACTCTTGCCCTGCTCACTGGGAGCAGCGTGAGCCCCACAGGTGGGAGCTCTGGGGAAGCTGAGGACACTTCGGTTATTCCCATGGACAGCATCAATAGGGCTGAAACCCCATAAGCACAACAAAGGGAGTGCTGGAAACCCCGAGAGCAGCAGAGTCCCAAAGAGAAACACAACAGCGCAAGAGGTGAGTTGATCCCTTCTGCCTCCAGACAAGCTCACACATCCCAGTTCCAATGGGAATTGCTCTACAAATGTCATTCATTTAAGCAGCAATACAACCACACAGGCAGGGAGGGCAGCTCTCATGGTGGCACTGGAGTCCCCGCATCCAAGGTCCCAACGGGGTCTGAAATCCCAGAAGCTGAAGGAGGGAAGCACCACATGTCCCTCTGCCAGAGCAAGGACAAGCGCAGAGGTCCCCAAATCCTCATGCCACTGTTTCTCCCCTCCTCGTCCCCACAAGCCCCAGGGGGACGTGGATGCACGGGGTTCAGCACTTGGTGACCTCCCCCTGGGTGAGCCCCGGGCTGGGGATGGCCTGGAGCAGCCAGAGCACTGCAGAGGTGCACGCGCCGGAGGAGAAGCAGGAACGCCCTGATGCAAGCACAGAAATATTTCCCTTGGTCTGCAGCCTGCTGCCGGCTGTCCTGGGAGGGCTCAGGGGAGAGGGAGGGATGGACGGGACAGACAGATGGATGGGACAGACAGACAGAAATGATGGATGGATGGATGGGACAAAGGAGTGGATGAATGAAATGGACAGATGGATGGAGTGGAGAGGGATCGGTGCACAGGGCAGCCGATATAAGGCAAAGCAAAACCCCAAAGCAGGAGCACAGCGTTGGGTCGACGCAAAAGCCTAAGGCAGGAGCACGTCTGCTGCAAAGCGGGACGTTTAATGGAGACGTTGAGCTGAATGGGGAGAACCAGCAGAAGGGCGCGCTTCCCAGCTCCGCGAGGGAGATCGGGATGGGGCTGGACGGCCAGGGAGGGCAGAGCGCGGCGCTGCAGGTGGGGGACACGGGATGGAGGGACGCGGACTGGAGGACGCTGCCGCCCAACAGCTGCGGGACATGGGCATGGGACGGGTTTGTTGATGATGCAACACCCGAATTGCACTCCGCAGGGTTAGGGCAGAAAGCAGAGCTGCAATCAGTCGCTGGGACGCGGCTCCCGCAGGGGGAAGGGGCGGAATCCCCAGACCCGGGGGGAACCGTGCCGGGACCCCCCGGCATCCGCAGCGCGCTCGGACCGGGGAGAACCGCCCGCTCCTCGCGTTCCCGACACCTCCGATCAACCCCGGGCGGAGAGTCCAAAGTTTCCCCGATCCACCCGTGCAACTTCCCGGCCCCACGCGCGAACCCGAACGGCCCCGTACGGCCCCTCGGCACCTCCCCCCGCACCCCCTTACCTGCCCTAAGCTGATGTACCCATAGGCGGCTGCCAGGCGGGCGGCCTCGGCCGGGCCCCCCCGCACGCGGACGGCCCAGTGGTTGGTATAGACGGTGCGGGAGGGCCCCGCCGCCCCCCCCCCGGCCCCAAAGGAGCAGGGTCAGGGCCAGGAGGCAGAGGGGGGCGGGCGGCGGGGGGGCTGCGCGGCGCGGGGCGGGCGCGGAGGCCGGAGGTGCGCGCATGGTGCTCGGCGCTCCGCGGGGCCGCGCTGGGCGGAGCGGGGAGAGGCGGCTTTTAAAGCGGCCCCGGAGCCCGGCGGGGGCGGGGGGATGCTCCCGGGGTGTGTGTGAGTGAGAGAGAGAGAATGGGGGGGGGGAGGTGGAGAACGGCCCTGCCCGGAGGTAGAGAGGGGAGAAGAAGGATGGGGACGGAGCGGGGGGTGAGGCGTGCCTGCGGGCATCGCTCCCGCACCCACTGGGTCCCACTGCATCGTCTGGCACTGAGCGCCGGGAGTCCTTTCTGTACCCCCCCCTTGCATCCCACTTCTGCAGTCCCGCAGCCCCCTGCACCCTCATTACATCTCCGGACATCCCCCCCATACACCCTCTATGCCCCCCTGCACCCCCTAAGTGCCTCCAGCACACTCCCAGCACCTTCTCCTAAGCAGCCCACACCCCTGTCCATATCCCCTGCATGTCTTCATGCAGCCCTCCCTGCACCTCCTCAGTAACCCCTGGCACTCCCATCTGTATTTCCCTGCATCCCACTAGGCATCCCCTCTGTATTCCCCCTACATCCCACTGGGCATCATTATCCCTCTGCATCCCTCTTGCATCACCCCAGGTACCCATCCCTCACCCTCCCCACATCACCCAGATACCCCACTACACATCCCTGCATCCCCTCCACAGCCCACTGTAGCATCCCATGTGCACCACCCTGCCCAGCCCTGTAACCCTGGACACCCCCCTGCATCCCCAGACCCTACTTAGGGGATATCAGAAGCTCATGACGTGTCAGCAAACAGGTTTGTTACAGAACAGGCAGCAGAATCTCCTCTTCCCTGTATCCAGCATCCAGCTGACCCACTGGGTCGTGGTGAACTTGACCTTGGTGTGCAAACCTGATAAAAGACAGCAGGGCCACAGTGAACTTCAGCTGCTCACATGCAGCCATGCTCCAAACCAGCTGGGATATCTTTGGGACATGAGCACAGCTGTCACCCAGAGGTCACCCCGCAGCCACCCCCACTGGCCCTCCCCATTACCCTGTGATGATGAGTGGGAAACGTGGAGTTGGGTTTCCCATGGGAAGGCATCAGAAACTCAGCACGGAGATGAATCCAAGAGGAACCCATGGGGAGCCCAGATTCTCCCATAGGGTCTGACCCCTGTGAGTGGCACATCCCTTGGGAGCAGCAGAGGAGACAATGAGAAGTTGAGAAATGGGGATCTGGGGAGCAGAGCACTGGTGATGGACCCCTCGAGGGGAAGGAAAAACAACTGGTGTTGCCCATGAAGGTGGCATTGCTGAGAAACACTTTTCAGCTAAAAATATGTCAGAGCACATTAACGGCTGCTCTGGTTAAGTGGGGAAGGATGGTCTCCATTAGCACCAGGAGGTGGGAAATCCACTGCTCATTCCCCACCTGTTTTATGCGCTTTGCCTCGAGATTCCCCTCTAATTAAGAGCTCACTGAGCAGAGGAGAGGTGGGAACAGGGCACAAAACCACCCCAAAGCTGCAGCAACGGGGCTGCTCACAAGTTGGGTGCCCACTGTGCATCACAGTGGTTCCAAAACCCAGCATGCTGCTCCTGCCCATTTCCTTTCCAAACAAAAAAAAAAAAAAAAGAAAAAAAAAAAAAGCTCATCAGAGAATGAGGGAAAAGCCTTTGGAGCACTGCGAACATCGATCGGAGGGGAGGAAGGCAGTGTTCCGCTCTCGGTGCCAGTAGGGAGGTGCCGTCTGCTGGCTGACCCCGCAGTGCCGTGAAGCAGACTTTGTCCCCACCGCGGTGCAGCGGGGCACAGCCTGGCTCGGCGCTCACTCTTTTTTCCTGGGCTGATTTCAAAACCAGAGAGCTGCAGCGCGATCCAGCCGGGCGCGGAGATTACAGCAGGAATCAGGTTAAACCCCGGTTATGGGATGCGTGCCGGGGTACGGCGGTGGCACGGCACAGCCCCAGCTGCTTGCGAGTGGCCGTTAAGTCATGCCGTGCTCTTGGAAATAGCTCTTTCTGTAGCTCGCAGGTTTAACCAAATGAGTGAAAATTGTGCTGGTGTAATTAAAGCAGTGCGGTTTGTGATCCGTCTGTGCGCTGGAGTTATTCTGCAGATGGAAAATCCGTGGATGGCTGCAGCCTCGCATCCTGCGTGGTTCCAGTTTCCATTGCTGTGAGGGTGCCTGTGGACACCGCCTTCCTCCTGGGCTGGGCTGCTCCCAGGTGTTCTGCTTTCATCCCAAAAATGCTGCATGGAAATGAGCTGAGTGCAACAGTCAGAAATGAAGATCCGCAGCACCGTGGCCAACGGGTCATTTTTTCACTTTGGGAAAATCCTGAGTGGATTTCCAGAGATCTCTGCTTGATGGAGACATGCTGCACCTGCTGGTTGGAGCCTGGATGAGAAATGAGGAAGAATCAGAGCAAAAAGGCTCTGGGAGAGAGCTGCCATTGGGGCTGGAAGAGCCCAGCTTAGAACAAGGAGGGCCACGTGGATGGGCTTTGCCATGCAGCAGCTCTCCCAGCCATCAGAAACTGAAGGCAGCAGCACAGGAGATTTAAACTGGAGATTAGAGAGGCAGCAGGGAGATGGGAGCTCGTGCCAGAGCTGCAGTGAGAACAGCATCCACGGTCTGGATTTCTGCAATCTTGGAGTGATCTGCAGCATTTTCTATCATTGCTCTCCAGAAAGATTAAATCTTGATTGTCAGGAAGCAGTGCGGCGGGTGAGAAGATTTCCCAGACCAGTCAAAATGTCATCCTGGTAAAAATGCCGGTAATAAAAGATGAAAGGAGAGGGCCCACTGTGGGCTCAAGCCTGTAAAGATGGCCAGAAGATGGATCTGGAAGTTTAGAAACAATTTTAAGCACGGTGCGAATGGTCGCTGCAGGGACAGAAGGGCTCAGCACAGATATCCACGGTGGGGGGAAGAACTGATAAATTAATAAAAATCAGCGGCGCGCCCAGTGTTGAATTAAAAGAAGAGAATTAAACCCAATGTTTTCATAGGTCTCAAAGGGCTCTGTTGGTGCCTAAGAAATGTGGGCAATGAAGAAGATGCCCAGTGGGGTTGGTGGGATGCTCAGCCCCAGCTGGGACCAGGCACTGTTCCTTGTGCCAAAAGCAAGCTTGAAATAACCTGAGACAAAGCCAACCCCACCCACTGGAATAGCAGGTCTGACAGAGCTGGGCTATGCAGGCACTGGGCAGGGGCCGCACCGTGGCTGAGCAAAGGAGGATATTTCAGGTCCCCCTGGCCGGAGCCATGCATCTGTCACTGTCATTGTGGCTCTCCCCAGGGCTAAAATTGGGCTAAAGCTGGGACTCCGAGTGCTACCCGTGTGTCCATGGGGATGTGAGTCACCAGCAGGGACGTCCGCCTGCTTGTGCTGCGGCTTCTGCAAAGCAAATGCAGCTCCTCTGCTCTGTCTCCAAAGTGGGTGATGTCCACGAGGATCCACCGTGACCAGCACTGCTGTGTTTTCACACCTGAAACCTTTCGGCAAAGGTTTTTGAGCACTGGGAGCGCGAACGTGCGGGGCGAGAGATGAGCCTGAGGGGGAGAGATGCAAAGATCAAAACAACAGCGATTTCAAAATAAAATCTGACAGCCAAGGGAAAACACAGCTTGTCCCTGCCGAGACTATCATTTATGGCAATTAAAAAAAAATTGGCATGGCAATAAGGAGAACAGCATGGTATTTCCTGACAAGGGCGTAGGGAGCATCCTTGGAAAGTCTTCCCTGCACAGCGTGCTGGCTGCTTCCAGAAAAACAAAGGTTGCTGTGACCCACCTGTCCCTGAAAAGCAGCTATTTGGGGCTGTAATATGGCTCTTGTTTCAGCTAGGCCAAGGAGAACAAAAGTCACTGGCTGAATATGGCAGAGCTATTGGCAGCTTTTCCCGGCTCTGAGGTTTGGGTATTTGCCTGCAGTTCTGTAATTGCCATGAAACTCCTTAAAAAAAAAAAAAACAACAAAAAAAACCCAACACTGTAGAGCTGGGCTGCAGCAGCCCATATGAGATGAAGGAGAGCTGGTCACACGTATCCCCATGTCCCCACACCTCCCAGGAAGCCAGGGCTGGGACACACTTGGGGCTCACCCAGGGCGTATCTGAGGGTTTCAGTGGCGTAACAGGGATTGCCAAAGCCCAACCTCTGGGAGCGATTACCTTTCACACAGTACTTCAAGGGGGAGCATGGAAAGCAAACAGAAACCCACAGTTTTCTTCACCTGATGCTGCCTATCCCTCCTCAGAGCCACAGCCAGGCGTTGTTTGTGTGATGAGACCCGCACTGCCGCCAGACATGCCATGATGCTGAAGAGAAGCAGCTCCACCTAGACAAGCATTGCTGCTAATGCAGAGCCCACATGTGCTGCTGCACTGCCAGCTCACCCACCAGCCACCCATCATCGATTAATGACCATCAGTCATTGACCATCGATCACCGACTACCAAATATTGAGCACCAACAGCTGACCATCGACCGCTAACCACTGACCATCGTCCACGGATCATTAACCATTGACCAGCAATCACTGACCACCAGCCACTGACTGTTGCCCACCGACAATTGATCATCAACCACTGAGCATTGATCACTGGCCGCTGACTGTCAACTATTGACACTGGCTATTGACCATGGACCATTGCCCCATCCAGCTGGGCACCAGACTTGGCACCACCCAGTTCAAATTGCAGCCGGGTTTCAAGCTGCATCGAGGTCCTAAATCCTGGAGCCAGTTGGAGTCTTGTTACCAAGTTTTCCTTTCACTGAAGCAAACAGCACCTTCAAAACCCCCAATGTTCATTTTCTTTCCCAAAGAGGGTAGCAGCCTTAAGCAGTTGCCACTTGCAAAGTCATACTGAGAGCAATGGGAGGGAAAATCCTGTAGGAAACAAAACTGAACTTCAGTAAGACAGTCTGAGGTGAGAAAAGACCCTCTGTGAGCTCTGAAATTGGTCAGTTACAGCGGTGTAAGGCAAAGCGGGGCTTTGTGGAGCCCTGGACATGCCTGGATTAGCCCCATAGAAATTTGTTTCAGCAGCTGGTGGTAACTGTGGGTTTCCCTGCAGGAGACAGCAGAGAGACGTTCACCTGTGCTCATTTTGAGAGCTGCTCATTAGTCCTCATCAAAGATAATTACGCTTCAAATCAGAATCAGATGTCCAGCAGAATTTTGAACAACCATGACAAAGTGGGTCCCCATTTGTTTACCCAGGGGGAGAAGGGGTTCCTGTCTGCTGGGATGCTGGCACCTGGAGGAGTTTCTACCCACCCTGCTTCCCCCTCCCCGGTAAAAGTATTTGGTTGTTTTTGTTTTTTTTTCAGGAGAAAATGCACCCAACATGGAAACAAGAGCATGGCAATACCTTTTGGTGAGGAAATGGGCAGGAAATGAGGGGAAATGGGCAACGAGCAGCATGGGGAGGGCAGCTTCACCCCAGCTCCACCTTGGCAGGTCGCTGCTGCTGTGCGCTGCCTTCCCAGATATTACTCTAATGCTTTCTTTCAGCCTGCAGATAAATGGGCCTCTTCAGAAGGCATTAAGCCCTCTCTGTTCCAACATTTTCTTTAAGAGAGCAGAGGAAAAGTTTGGATTACGCTGAGCTTCTGAATTCAGCTTTTATGGGTGAGCTGTGAGGGGTTTCCTTCCAAGACAAAATAGGGCCAGTGTGCTTTTTTCTCCTTTCCTTCTGAACGATGACGGAGGCCGTGCTGCCCCTTCGCCTCCTGCATTTTCCTCCCCTCCTGTGGTTCCCTGTGGGCTGCGTGGCACCACCAATGTGATGCTTAAGGGGAGGATCAGTGCTGCCATTGTGCAGTGCCAGAGAACCCCGCACCACAGGCAGGTCCAACTCTTGTTGAGACAATGATTTGTGTTCCAATTTTGAAATTCCTGGGTGGGATCTTTCCCTGGCTCCAGAGCAGCAGCTGTGAGCATTGAATCACAGCAGAAATAGGGAGAAGCATCTAGTGGGAGCAGCACTGGGTGGGAGCAGCAAAGTGAGACCCAGAGACTGCTGGGCTGAGGAAATGGCAATGTAATAATGGTGCAGGGGAGGTGGAACTGGAGGAAGGACAAAAATGAGCCAAATTTGGGAAGAATTATGTTCAAGGAGAACATAATGAGAAGACCTCAGAAGGCTGGTTGAAGCCACCTCCTCCCAGCCTAAATTACCCAGTGATTCAGCCACTGGGGATGGTGCAAGCCCAGCGAGCTCCACGTGGGCGAGCAGGGTTGGTCACCGCTCACCTCTTCCCAGACAAGGGACGGGTGACAGCGGGTGACACGGCGTCAGCGGGGACAGCCTGAGGGAGGTGGCTCATGGCGGCTCTCAACCACAGGGACGCATTGGCTGCAGAGCCCCAGGGCTGCATGGGGGCAATTAGTGGAAGATAAATTAAAAGACACTGTCTGCAGCTCTTGGGAGTCCCTGATCGGCAATCTGCTGGAGGGGAGCAGTGCTGGAGGCTTGTCCTGGCTTTGTGCTCTGCCCTAAGCATCCACAGTGGGGCTTGTTGAGCCTGGGTGGGCAGGAGGAGACGGTGCTCTGTGGGCTCTGAGACACAGGGGGTCCTTGGGATGCATCTGTGAGGTCCTTGGGGATGTGTCCGTGGAGACTCTGGGTTTGCATCCATGGGATCCTTGGGATGTGTCCATGGGAAATGCAGCAGATGGGGTCCCCGACCTGAGATGTGCAGATGCATCCTGGAGAGGTGCACAGGTACGTCCAGTCCTGTCGCTGGGACAAGCTCAACATGCAGATCTTGCGGCACTGCCCCTCGTCCCCAGCCGGGCTCACAGTTCTGGAGAGGGGACATCCCGGCTGAGGGATGGGTACAAAGAAACAAACAGCCCTAAGGATCCGCAGCCCCGCGGTGGGGACCGGACCCCGTCATGCCCCCAGATGCCATCAGATTACCGCTTGGGCGCAATCCAGAGACCGTGCAGCCGCAGCTCCGCGCAGTCGGGGTCGGTGTTACACCGGGCGGGCGCTAGGGGGGGATGGCGGCACGCAGAGCGACCGCGGGCTGCGAGCAGCAGGAGGATGAGGAAGAGGAGGAAGGCCGAATCAGGCTCCAGGCGCAAGCAGGGGATGAGGGCAGGAATGGGGACTATCTTCTGCATATTGAGCACATCCCAGCTCCCCACCCAGGAGCAAAAAGAGGAGCATACTTTTACCCTACAATATAGCCAAAACTGCAGATCCCAAACTGGGGTTTGCCGGGGGTGGCAGAACCCCACTACTGCCCACTGTGCAGTGAAGGCAGCGGGTCGGCCACCGGATCCCACCCTGGCACTGAGACTGCCATCAACATGAGCACTGCACAGCCAATGAGTTCCACGCTGATCACCAACATTAATTATATTTTGCAATTTCAGACAAAAAGCATTGCCCACTGGGATTCCCATCCCAGCCTCCTTCCATGCCACAGCATATTCCCCCCCATGTGGCTGCAAAGCCCGGCAGGACTAGCCATCCCTGCAGCAATTCAACTGGCTGAGAGACTCCTGGTCTCACCACCATCAAGAACATCATTTTGGGAACCATCAGCACTTCAGCTGCACCCTGCGCACCCACCCCTGTACGCGTTCACTGCACGGCTATGTGAGAGCCCCAGCTCAGGCACAGAGGATGAGCCCTACAGCACCCCATATGAGGGAGTTTAGTTTCCATCTCTGAGCGTAAATTCTCTAATCATTTGCTCCCAACCTGCTCCCCCAGTCATCATCATACATTGCCTCCATTGTACCCCCAGTGCTTGGCTGCCCTGGGCTGGTTCCTGCAGGATGCACAAGGAACTGCACTCAGCCACCCCTCCACCAAATTCCCAGATGTCCCTTTCCCATCCCAGTGCACTGACTGCACAACCCTGGCAGCATCTGTGGAGGATTAGAGCCTCCCTAATTTCCAGTCTCCATTTATTCCTGTCCAGCTCCAATCCCATTTGTTCTGGTGCCAACATTGTCTCCCGGCGCACACAGCTCGTCTCCCTTCCTGGTGCTGTCCCTTGATGTATTAATAGCGGGCAGCTCCCTGCCCTGCCTTTGTTCCCTCTGCACATGGCAGAGAAGGATGTGGCTTTTCAGAAGAGGCTCAGGGACAAGAAGGCCCATTCAGCAAATCCTCATGTTCAGTGGCACTGCCATGATGAAATATCCCCAAAAACGGCACCGGGAGCTGCTTCCCATCAGACCCAAGCAGAAAATGAGCTTTTTGCTCCTCCTGCAAACTGTTCCTTCCCACTCTTCCCAGAAGGATGATATTTTTGAAGCTTGCAGGAAACGAGGTTTTGGCAATGCCTGAGAAGCAATGGGAGGGGTGGGTGGGTGGGGGCTCCCTGGATGCTTGGCGTGACTGGAGTGGTCTGAAGCTGGGAGCTGTGGGCTGGGGTTAAGCTCTGGCATGCTGGGAAGGGCAGGGGCAAGGGGTGACGACAAGATCCCCAAACTAAGATGAGCATCAAGGAGCAGCTCTGGGACTCCCTTCTGCACCCCAGGTTGGGATGCCGATGTCAGCAGCTCGCTTGGTGCACATATAGCCATATTCAGGTGGTTGCTTCATTTTGTTTTTCTCCCCTTTTTTTAAAGCACAAAATCACTCCAAATCTCATCGCCCATTTCCCCAGATCCACACTCACAGTAGAAGTGGCAGCTCAGAGCCTCCAGCGGTGTCAGTGCCTTCATATGGGGACACAGGGCAGCAGCAGGCAGCCCCTGGCAGGAGTCTCAACCACAGCATTCCCAACCTGGATTTAAACACATGGCCTCCATCACACTCCTTCATAAGCTAACTTAAGGCATCCCCAACTCTACCCCAGCAAGTGACGACCTTTCCGTGATTTTGGGTTTGCTTTGTTCCCACTGCAAACACCTGCAGGCTGAAACCCCCAGCACACAGGGGCATTTCCAAGTGTAGCAGGGAACCATAGAATCATTGAGGTCAGAAAAGATCTCTAAGATCATCAGGTCTAACCATACACCCATTGCCACCATGCCCACTGACCATGTGTCCCCACGCCACCTGCTGCAGCCTTTGCTGCTGCCAAACCCAGTGTGGGGGCTCCTGCTGCTCACCATGCCCAGGTGTTCCCAGGCTGCCTGCTCCTCCCAGTCCAATTACAACACCCAGCCTCTGCTCCAGGTGGTCTTTAGCCAGATGCTGACGAAGGAGGCTGTCCAGTGCCCTGAAGAAGTGCTATTACCTTTGGGTGCAGAGGGAAATCGAAGCATGTGACTTGCCAAGGTGTCTAGGTGTTGCGGGCTGGGGATGGGTGGCAGTGTCACAGCTCTCCCGTTGGCCACAGAGATGGGTCACAGACCCCGCTGCCAGCACCACATAGGGCTTAGAGCAAAGGGCTGCCTCACCAGCTGAGGTCCTCGTTGCACGCCTCACCAGCACCAGCTGCTTGGTGTCACCCCCAGCAGCATCGCCCCACTTTTACCAGTGACCACGCACCGGGGCGGGCAGCGCTTCCCTGCTGCAAACCCAGCCATGATGCCCGTCCCCAAGCTGCCAGCAAGCCGCTGCATTTGTGCAACTGTGTTCTCACTCTGCAAACACCTTCCCTTAATTACTTTCATTCAACAACAGGTCCTCCCGGAGCTGCTGCTCCCTGCGGATGGGGACTGCCCTCGCAGCAGCTGATAAACCCCAACGATACGGCCCTGGCGTCGCGGCTCCCCAGCAGCCGCGTGTCCTCGCATGCACGGTGACTGCATGCTAAAAACATTCTGCACTTTTTCACCGATTAAAATTTTCCAGGAGAGAGTCAGAACCGCAGCCCACACCCTATCGGCTGGGCCAGAGGTTTCCCCTCACTCTCCGCAGCCCTGCCAGGAAAATCAAGAATACAGAAAAGCATTTCTGCTGGTTTGGGTCATTTTGAAAGTTTGGCTGCAGCATCATTTGTTTAACAATAACTCATTCTGTGCTGCACCCAGAACTTTGGGCCCAGCCTTGCAGGGATGAAACGGATGGATGCTCACAGCTGCATGCCAGGCCCCACGCCTGCCCCGAATCAGAATCTTCTGTGCCCAATTTTGCTACCAGCGGTGGCAGAAGGAGCACTGAGGCTGTAGACAGTGTTTACCCAGCAAAGGGATCACACTGGTGAGACTGGAGTCTCTGCCAAAGCCACAGCCAAGCTGATAAGAAGGAGATGCAATCAGGTGTTTCTTCTCATTACCACTAATTGCTGTTTGCGTGCTCTCAGGAGCTCTGTTCTAGACTGGACCCTGTGCAACTGGAGCAAGCAGAGATACCTGTGAAAAAGTGCATTTAACCTGGAGATATCAGTGCTTTTCTTCTCCTTTCCTTCTCACCCTGCCGAGAACAATGGAGGCAAGGTTTGCAGAGGGAGGTAATATCTTTTTTTAGCCCAACTGAAATAATTAGGAGAAAAACAGGCAGGCTGCAGGGTACATGAGCCCTTCAGCAGGACTGAAATAGAAGCAGAAGTCTGCGGAGCTGAATACCAACAGAGAACAATAGCTGGAGCGTGACTAGTAGTGTTAACCAGTTCTGCCACCAAGGACCACTTTCCAGCTGTTTTCCTTGGGCACTGCCAAAATCCATCATCCTTGATGGTGCTGCCAGGAGCCAGCACCACTCCAAGGAACGGTGCCAGCCCACAAAGCCCCAGGATGTGCACCAGGGCTTTGAGAAGCTCAGGGCCCAGATGGTGCCTGACTGGGCATCATTCTGCACCCTGCATCCCATCCTGCTGCTCCCGGGGCATTGCTGCCCTAACCTGCACCCTGCCTGACCCTCATGAGTCACCACTTCCAGGGGTCCCATCCCTCCATGGGGGTGTCTCCTGAACGCTGGGGACGCCAGCCTGACCCTGGGGGCTGTGGCTGATCCTCAGGGACCTGTTAGACACCACAGTTCTTTGCCCCAGACCAGGGGCTCCAGGTACACATCCCACCACTGGGTACTCTGTCTCACCCCTATGGTCCACGTCCCACTTCCACGGCACATTTCCCACCTTGCAGAATTTGTCCCACCTCCACGGTCCATGTCCCATCCTCCAGATCCTGTCCTACCCCTAGGGTGTATGTCCCATTCTCTAGACCCTGTCCCATCTCTCTCGTCCGTGTACCACTCTCTAGACCTTGTCCCATCCCTACGGCCCGTACAACATTCTGCAGACCCTGCCCCATCTCACGCACCCTTTCCCTTGAGCCCTGGCACTCCATGTGACCCCAGAACCACGTCCCAGCTCCCTGACCGACCCCGGTCCCTCCATCCCGACGTCTCCCACCCTACTCCCGCCGCGGGCGCGGCCTCACGGAGCTGCGGAGCCGGGGCTGGGCCAGGCGGGGGCCGGGCCAGGCGAGGCGGCGGCGGGGCCGGGGCCGGAGGAGGGGGATCCCCGCCTCCCTGGGGCCGCGCTCGCAGCTCCGGAGCTGCCGGAAACCCGGCGCTGCCGCTCGGCCGGTGCTGCTGCTCCTCGGCGTGAAGTTGGTGCGGAGGCAGAGCACGGCCCGGCCCGGCATGTCCCCCCGCCCGGCTGCGGGACGCCGGCGGCGGCGGAGCCCCTGAGCGGGCGGCGAGGAGCGGCGGCCGGTCCCGACCATGGAGCAAGTGAGTACCGGGACGTGTTAGGGGCTCAGCCCCAGGGAGGGGCGTCGCGACCGGTCCCATGTCGGGGGGTCCCTCTGCTGCTATCGCAGCATCCCCAGCCCCGCGGCTTGTGCAACTTGCTGCTGAGTTGGGGTGCTGTGGGAGGGCGAGCGGAGCGGGGCCGCTCCCGGTGGCTGCGTCCCGCTGCGTGCTGTGCTTCCAACGGGCGCGAGCTGGGTGCTGGCCGGGTGCCTGGCAGCGGCCGTCCTTCTCCTCCTCCTTCTCCTCCTCCTCCTCTTTTGGGGAAGGCTGTCGTGCTTCTGCACGTGGAGCTTTTCACGGCCCCCTGATGCCACAGATTTGTTGGCAAGTTTAGCAGGTCCTCTCCTCCACGCGTCTGCTCACCCGGTTATTCCTTTTTCCCTTCCACCCGACGAGGTTTTGCTGCTGATGCACGAGGAAGGTGCGGCAGGACAGGCTGCGGGCTCCGGGACATGCAACACTGGGAGCTTGGCTTGCTCTCCCCGTGCTTAACTCCCCAAATGTTGTGGTGAAAATAAGGGCTTCTTCCAAAAGGGCCACGACAGCGGGGAGACCAAAAGGCAGTCCAGCGTGGTAGGGACTGAAAGTTGTCATTATCCGCCGGCATCCATGAAATTAATCTGTAGCACAAAAGTGCTTCCAGCTGGCGGCTGCACGCAGCGGGCGCTGCCGGGTTGGGGGCTGCGTGCCCTTCGTTGGCCACATATGAGTCCTCCTGGCAGTGGGCAACGGTGCAACTTCCAGGGTCTCACATCCATGTGTGCGGTGTCTGGTATTGCTCCTGCATCACGCAGATGTGAAGTGCCAGCAACGTGTCAGGAGTGAACGTGAAGGGATAGGAAACGAGCTGAGGTATGGGAACGCAACTGGGGATGCATCTGGAGATGCATCCGTGCTGCAGTATGGGATGGACCAGTTGCACCACTTGCTTGCCAAGTAAAATGCTCCTGTGCAGTGTGTGCAACTTGTGAAAGCACCGCCGCAGTCCGACTGTTGGCTTCTGCTGTTGTCAGAAGACACAGAAAGTATGTGGTTTTGTGGGGCCCTAAACTCAGGGGGAGGAAGGCAGAAATAACTGCCTAATTGTTAAATTAAAAGCCACCCCACGTCTTTAATTTGACATCTCTGCTGAGCTTTAAAACATGAAGGTAAAGGAGAGTCCAACTCGTGCTGCACTTTTAATGCCACCATGCTGTAAATCGCACCAATGACTTGTACCGGCTGTGGGACCAGCGCCGCTGGCTCAGGCAGTGACAGAATAACTCAGTTCTTCCCTTGGTTATGCTGGCTCTCTTGGCTGATGTCAGTGGGTTTATTCTGATGGATTTACACCAGCATCAGGCACGAATCCAGCCCGGGAACATCCTGGAATGGCTATCTTAGTATTTCTTGCCTCCAGCAGAAGGAATACCCGCAGAAAGCTGAATTAACAACAACAAATCATCTCTTTGTGCTGCCCTCCAATTTTAGTCATGGAATCACAGGCAGCAAGCATGGAGCAGACACTGAGTCCTGCTCCCAGCGCTCTGCCCTGGCAAACCTCCCCTTGCTGACAGATCGAGGGGCTGCACAAGCCAGAGGCATGGGATGCCAGCACCATGGGAAGCGCCGCGTGGTTGGGAGAGCATCCCATGCATGTGTCCTGCTTGTGTGTGGATCGAAGCGTCACTCCTGCTACAAACAGAGGGGGTGAGCAGCCAGGCTTTAGGCACAGACGGGGACGATTTGGCCCAGAAGTGGAAATCCCGATGGGGTGGAGAAAAGAGATTGTCCCAAGATATCAGGGAGCTGGTGAATGCCATGAGATCGCAGGAGTGCAAGCATGAGAATTCCCTCCAACCAAGGCGGTGATGAGGATGGGTTACTTTTTCAGCAGTAGACGTGAAGTGCTGCAACTTTATAGTGAGTCATTTTATTGTAAAACCATGGAAGAGAGGGTTTTCACACTGCAGAGTAAAGAGGCCACGGATAGGCTGATTTGCTGTGTGTTTTCAGGCAGCCATTTTGCCATCGAGAGAACAAATAAAAATTGATCTGCAGAGCAGAAAACTCCAACCCATTTGGGAGTAGCAGGAAGACAGGCGAGGAGTCACTCTTGGTGCAGCTACATCCAAGCAGAACTGCTAGGTGTGAGGTCAAAGCCCGCGCCCAGTTACCCAAGCATGATATCAAAAAGGATGATGCACCAACAGGTCTGTATTGGTGCAGCCGCTGATGTTTGCTGAAGGAACAAATCGCAACTGACTGCAACTTCCTGGCAACCTAAAAAAGTCGAGCTTAAAAAAACCACAGTGCTCCTCATTTCCCGGAAAAGTTGTTGGTGTGCTGCCATCCTGTTGCAGGGCCTGTCAAACACAGCACAGCACCATGAAACAGCTTCATTCTGCAAAGGGCACCGGGGCTGCTGGCCATTTCTGTGTGATTTACCTTTACCTGAGGAAGTCTGGCTGTGTTTCAGGTATTGAGCCTCTTCCTGACCTTGCTGGAGGCTGGAATAAACGTTTGCACACAGCAAATTTAATCTGTTTTGCTTCTCATTATGGGTGCAAGTTCTATCTTTAAGGAACAGCTCACCCAAATACTATCCAAGGGTGTGTTTGCTGGGAGTCTGGTTCATGAAAACAGATCTGTTAGTAAGGCTTTCCTCTGGATTTTTGGAACCTGTCTGTACTCACTTGCCCTATCTCCACTCCCTTCTGGCCACGGGAGTGCCTGGCTCTGACTCCTTGTGATGCACATGGGATTTCCTCATGGTAGGAAACATGATGTTTAAGCTACAGACTTTCTGATTTGTTTTGTTTTGATTTTTCCCTATCAGCAGCTAGCTAGAGCCATTTGAGGATGCTTGGGGCTCTGCCTTGGTCGTGCATCCTTTGGTTTGTGAAAATGCTGCTTAGTGCCATTACAGGCAACAACAGGTCCTGTGTCCTGGGAGAAAAGCCAAATCTGGGGTAACAGTGTGGTTCTGGGAAGGGCTCTGGAGGATTTGGGGTTGGCCTCCTCTTAAGGGTCACGAGTTCGGTGAGGTGTTTTTCTAAGGGGATTTGGCTCTGCTTGCTCCTGGGAAAGGCTTAGGGCAGCAGCCGTGCCGGATTCTGCATGCAGGGCAGCAGCAGCCTCAGGGTCCATGCCCACTCCCCAGCCCTGTTCCAGAGGTCTGGGCTGTGGGACAGGAGCTGCCTGAGCTCTCTTCTCCCCTGTAGAAGTGTTCTCTGGAAGATGCCAGTCTGGTCCCAGCCTTTCTCCCTGTGAGCTGCTGGGGAGGGACTGCACATGGTGGGTGCTGCGGTCTTTGCTGGGCAGGCTTTTCCAACGCCTGTCATTAGATGGATGGAAGGTGCTCTCAATGTAACTTCTCCCTTCTGCTTTTTTTGGTGGTCCTTCAGGATACAAAGGAGGAGGTCTCGGAGAAACCAAAGCCTGCTCCCAGTGCAGAGAAATTTGGCTGGATAAAGAAAAGCAGTGGAGGACTCCTGGGACTGTGGAAGGATCGCTACGTCCAGCTGCGGAAAACACAGCTCGTGGTCTACGAGGATGAGGTATGCTCACAGCTTAACCCCCTTGGGCAGGATCAAGTCCTCAGTGACACAGCCCTTTGATTTTCACTCCTCTTTCCAGCCCATTCCTTTCAGGAGGACTTCTGTAGATACTTTCAGGGAGGTTAAATGAAGAAGAGACAGCTGCTGCGTTTTAGAGAATATTATATACCATAAATATTTCAGCCAGTAAATATTTTGACAGTAGCATTGTTAAAAAAAAAAAAAAAGACAACGGGGGCAGGACATCCTGTGAGAAGGTGAACAGGGTAAGACTTGAGGCGGAAGCAGGATATGTGCTCGCAGTTTTTGGCATTTAAGGGCTAAAACTGCATTGTAGCAGCCTGACTGCCCACCTGCTGCTGGAGGGCACGACTGGCAGCCCTGCAGCTGTTGAGCACTCCACAAGCAGCTGGAGCCGCTGGCTGCCAGGCTGTGCAGGGTCTTGTTTAGCCACGATGGGCACAGGATGAGGTTGTGAGTGCTTGATTTATCCTTAAATAAGGACACGGTTTGGGTTTGGCTCATCCCTTCCTGTTGGTTGAGCAAGCCAGAGCTAAGAGAAAGACTCTTGGGAGCCTTTTCCTGAACTTCCCTAGATAAGTTGAATGCCTTAAGTTCATGGCTTCATTTAGAGCTGTTTCTAATCCAATGAGGAATAAGAGCCAAGCCAAATCTGCTCTATATCTTCATGCAAGAAGAATGAAAAGTGAAATATCTCTGAGTCTGCTGCTCTGTTGTTGGTCCGAAAGGGCTCTAAGAGTGAGATTGTCCTCAGAGGTCCCCAGAGGAATATATTAGTGGGCAGATCACATAAGCTCAGCCCGGAGGGGTCTGAGACAGGGGCAGCTGAGGCTAAGCCCTGCTGGTATGTGTGCTTCTGTGGCACCTGGCACGAGAGGACTGGGGCATTTGTGGGCATCAGAACGCTAGAAGACAAAAGCAGTCCAGTTTCTGTGCAGCATGTCAAGGGAACGGGAATGGGGAAACACGTCAGCAGTTGCACTGCTGTGATGGTTTCAGGAACAACAGGACTGACAAAAGAGTTTGGTTCTCTTTTCTAAAA